CGTTTTCGTACCCCAACAGATACTTTACTAGAACACCTACAAACGCAACTGAACTAACGACTAAGACCTGTTTGTTTGTGGGCCGGGAATTTTTTTTATCACTGATTGAATTATACCAGTGTTAGGAATAGGACTTAATTTTAGAATAAGCTAGGCTAAGACATATATGTACTACTCAAGGGCAGAAAGACCGATTGGGTCGATAGCCTTTTTCTATAGGAAGTAAAGATTATTTATATATATATATACATTTAAAAAAATGCAGATTGAGGGACGTTTTTGAGGGTTTTTCGTCTTCTAGGTAACCTAATGTATGCTGCTGGAAAAGTCGACTACAACATCCTGGAAATCGTGAACGGCGGTGTTCAGTATCGCTTCGAACTGGGCAGCGGGGAAGGAATTGTGCGCGTTGGGGATGTTTATGTGTCCGATGGAAATTGGCATGAAATCAAACTGGAAAGAGACCGCAACAACGCGAAGATCACCATAGGTACTGGTAGTCGGAGACACAGAGGTGTGGACAAACATTTGTTTTTTTTCTCAGATGGAACGCATTCAGCTCAAGGCTCAGCGCCAGGAGTAAGCGACATCCTAAACCTCCAAAGCGACGAAATGTACCTGGGCGCTGAAGTACATCAACATCCCTCGATTTTGGGCTTTGAAGATGTGCAAAAAGGGCTTTCCGGTTGCATGGATGATATCCGAATCAGCAGGGTGAGCTACTTGCAATCACTTGATTGATATGAAATGAAAAATAAAACGCTCCTGTAGGTTTCAGTGCCTTTGCACAAATCGGGGGAAAACTCGGTGGTGGTGTTGAAAAGATTTGCCAATGTGGAGTTCAGCTGTGATATCAACAACATGCTGGTTCCGCTGGGGCCCTGTGGGTCTCAGCCCTGCTTAAACGGAGGAACCTGCCGAGAAACGAAAGGAGGGTAAGTTTCAAGATGGGAAACCTCCGGTTTTCTGAATAATAAAACCGAATGAATTTCAGTTATGAATGCGAATGCCATAACAGATACACTGGCACTCTATGCGAACTGGACACTGATCCATGTGCCTCCTCCCCATGCCTTTACGGGGGCAAATGTACCCCTACGATAGCGGGAGATTTTGTATGTGAATGTGTGCTGAGACTTGGAGGCAAACGCTGTGAATATGGAAGATACTGTTCGCCTAACCCCTGTAAGCATGGCGGGGTGTGTGAAGAAGGAGACGATGGGCCTCTGTGTAAATGCAGGTACGTGCAGTTGATTTAGTTAAAGAAAATTTGATGAAAATCGTGGGGTTTTAGGGCGTTTGCTGGCGAATATTGCGAGTATGATCTAAATGAGTGCGAAACCAACCCCTGCCAAAATGGGGGAACGTGTATCAATGAAATTGGGTCGTTCCAGTGCTTGTGCCCTTCGAATGTTACTGGAGTTTACTGTGCTAATTCGATTTACAACTCGCCGATTTCGCCCTCGTTCTTTCTCAATATCACCTGGAATCAGCTCATGTACTTTGGGCTCGGCCTGGGGGTTTTACTGTTCATCTCCATTATTATTTGCTTGGTGTGCTGTTGCAAAATGAGACAGTAAGTTTCGAGGGCAGAATAATACTAGTTGACCGAAACCCAAATGATTTTTAGGGCAAAGAAACGACAGGCAAGAAACAACGAAAATATCAAAGACAATAACGTTTTGAACTCGACACACCATCACAGAGCTCACGAGCTGGCTGAGTTTGCAAAGCGCGGCTCAAAACTCAGCAACCTGGAGGTAAATCATCGAGAAATTCCCCCTGCTGCCCGGCCAGTCAGCTATACGCCTAGCTCTCAAAATGAAGGTAGCTTCATTAACGAACATCCTCTAGCACTGTGAAAATCCACCGCGTTTCAGGCATTTACAATAACAACGCCACTACGATGATGTTCAACAACTTGGACACTTTAAGAAGCTACGGTTCAGCCGGGGATGAGCTGGAAAATGCGCCGGATTATGGAAAGAATTTGAACCGAAGTACTCCTCAAGGGTGCATAAGCAATCATTGCGATTCTGAAAAAGCTAAGTGGGACGATATGCATTTGACTACGGCACTGAATGATAAAACAAGACTGAAGAATGGTAAGAGGAACTCATGGGTTAAAAAAACCACTACATGCTATTTTTTGTTGATTAGACTACAAAGTGTCTAGTCCTGTAAACTGCGACCCTCCCAATAGACTGTATGGGGGCAGAAGCAACACAGCTACAAACAGCAACTTCAGGCCTTCAGCAACAAACATGACTGAAGATGATCAGCGAATTGTTGGAAGTACGGATTAAAACAAAACTGCTACTTGAGGAACCGGTAAATTGTATGACGGTTTGCTGTCTTAGGCTACCATTGGGACTGTTCAGATTGGGCGAGACACTCCCAAACTCTTCCCAACATAACAGAAGTTCCTGGATCGGAAATTCCCGATTCGTCCAGTTTTCACAGCAACGAGAGCAACGAGTCGCGTTGCCTCAATCATGTTCCTCATTCCTACTCTCACCACAGACCGGGAATCGTTAGCCCTTTAAATGAAGTGAGTTTAGATTTTTTTCATTAAACTGATTTTGGAGATTTTCTATCAGGAGTTATTTTTAAGTTCACAATCGCCATTGAAACATTTCTGCTACGGTTAAGTTGCAATTTCAGGAAAATTTGCCGGTTTTTATTCGGAATTACTGTGAATCTCAATGCTTCTTTAGTCGGGCAAGAGGAAGTTCATGAAGAATCCCGCATTGGAATTTTTCCTCTCTTAGTTTTTTCATATAACGATTTGCTCTACTAATTCGCCAGAATTACCAAAAAAATTTGCCGGTTGTTCGTTTAGGAGTAGGTATCGTTCTATGAAAATTAAAATTTTGAATTTTTTCGCAATCTTCAAATCTATATGCTCAAATAGATTTTGATTTGCTACATTTCTTAGACTCGAGAATAGATAAAAGTGTGAAGTTCCCAGTGTGATAAAGCTGTTTCGTAAAATTAGGAAATGCTCAGAGATTAGCGAAGCTTATTCAAAGTTTTCTATAAAACTGAGTAGGTTGGTTGCAGTTTTGATGTGAATTTCGAAAAGATAAACTTATGAAATTAGCCTGGCACGTTTAACTCACTTGTTTTATTGAGGAATATTTCGCCAATTTTTCAAAAAGTTCAAAAATAAAAACATTTTAGTTATCAACATCAACAACTGTTGAAATGAAAATAATTCCTGATATTAAACAAAGCTTCGAACCGAACCAATTCTAAATCAGTTTAATTTATTTAAATCCTATTTCTTAGGATGCCGAGTCTGCATACACGGGAGACATCGAAGAAGGATCAACTCGTGGTGGTAATACGTTAAATTCCCTTAGTGGTGATGGCAGTGAAGAATATAGATTTCCCACAGGTAAATGCTTTGTTGTGCTTGGGGACTTTTAGTAGCAGTGTCTAGGGACTCATTTTTTCGTCTTAGTGAATGTTTCACCTTCAATGTTAGATGATTTTATACACGTTTGTAATTTTATACCTGCAGGACTTTGTCGTCCAATGTAAAACTGACTGAATAAGACTGAAAACACCGCTCAATTCTAAGGTCGTTTGTCTTTTGATTTTGAAATACCTACAATGTGTGCGGTTGAACGGAAAACCATGTAATTTTACGTGCAACATTGTTAATGAACCTGAATTTAAACTTGCTTTCAGCGGTACTATGGCACGAAACATCTTTATAGCCAATGTGCCTTTATAACCAAAATATTTCTAGTGTTATGTAAGTCGTACTTTATGTGAGTTCAAAGTGTTTGCCTTTTGTTAGTTTTGAACACCTTTTCCAATGATATCTTAAATTGACTGCATCTCCTCTAAACCTCTAACACTTTAATTAGATGGTAGAGCTGTCACTAATTGCAAAAATACCCAAAGAAGCCAATAACATAATAAATAAAACATGGTTTTTTTCAGTCAATAATTAGAGAGAGTTCAGTTTATTATGTTATTAACGATTTTGCAATATCCCCATACTAATTTAATCCTCTCACTTTATCGAAATGTATAAATCTAACACTGTTTTATTATTGAGATATCCTAAACACAGCTGAATTAATTGCCCAATGGCCTCATATGTGAATGCGAGCTCCCACTAGAATAGTTCATTTTTAATGAGAAACCCTCAGCGGACAATAATTGAAAATTAACTGGAAATTTTTATATTTGTGCACCCATTAACGCAGTGCCTTTGATTATTGTCAAACCAAGTGAGTAACTTGATATAAACAACATTTAATCTACGTGTGCATGCTTTATATTGTGTCTTTCCTGCAGTAAGATGTCGCAACACTTAATCAACTAATACCCGAATGGCCTCAAAAATCATTTGGACGCAACGCATGAATTTTGATTTTTGTTGTCTCTGAGAGAAAAACGCGTAGTTTCGATGTTAACAAACGTTCTTTCTGTTAACAGCCGAAAGTTATCTTCGCCACCCCAACGCTTACCTCCCTACGCATAACTACAACATTCCCAGCGAAGCTGAAGCTGAGTCGCTTCAAAGTCCTGGCTCAGACGACATTGAGCCTTATGGATTTCCCAGCAATCGCAATAGGAGGAAACATATGGATGACGATATGGCCAGCGTTATTACCACTTTAGGTAAGAAAATTAATATTTTATGTTAAACGTTAAAGCATCAATCTGTTTCGATAGCGATTTGGACAAATTTTCTAAAATCTACTTTTGATTGCACAAAAAGTAGGGGATACAGAAGCCTGTGTGTTTCTCGATTGGATAGAGGAGATTTCATTCAATACAAGCCAAATTCGTCGATTCCTAAGCCCGTTTAGTTGATTTTGCAGATATTTTTGAAGTCTCGATTTGTAGATAAGTTCTATATTGTTGAGGCGGATTCATTTTTTGCAAACTTCTTTTTGGGTATTTTGCCTCAAAAATTTTTGTCTTTAAAAAAGACAGAATTTCCTCACGTCTTTTATTACAGATTGATAAATAGTGCT